ATGGGCACTGTACACAGGTTACCTATCTACAACAACCATATACACAGGTAAATACAGGTGATACATCTACATATCAGGTACAAAGTTCTCCAGTAACATGGGCACTGTACACAGGTTACCTATCTACAACAACCATATACACAGGTAAATACAGGTGATACATCTACATATCAGGTACAAAGTTCTCCAGTAACATGGGCACTGTACACAGGTTACCTATCTACAACAACCATATACACAGGTAAATACAGGTGATACATCTACATATCAGGTACAAAGTTCTCCAGTAACATGGGCACTGTACACAGGTTACCTGTCTATAACAACCATATACACAGGTAAATACAATTTCATATTTAGAACACTAGCCTGTAGGATGATTTTTATAGTTTTTGTTTTGATTTTTTTTACTAGCCCTCACATAATATCTTCACGCCTCAGGCTTCATGCTAGTTGAATTGTACATCCCTCAATCCTCTTTTAGAATTTAAATCAAAAGAGTATTTGTCTCAAGATTTACTCCATTTACAAGTCCATATACCAGATATATCTCTATACCATCTATATACTACTTTATACCGCCTACCAGTAGTATGATCAATTCATTATCATTGGTTGTCAGTATGAGAATACTTAAGAATGGATTTTCCCATTCCCCAGCACTTGGGAACGCATTTTCTCAAATAAGAACATCTGCTTGCGACAGATGACGTTCAAAACTGGAAATAGTGTCCACACTAAAGTAATCCGTGTAAGAAAATAGTTTGTCATAAACATATCAATAATACAAAGTTACGGAAAAAAATAGTGTGAGAATAACAACACCATTTCAGGTGTAAATTGTACATGTGGAAAAGCCAATGACGATAGGATTGTTTTAGAATTATTTTTTCTACGTAGATTTAAGGTTCATTGTATTCCTCAGCGCAAAACTTCTATTTGTTTACGTTTATCACAGGCGATCGTTGACCATGGAGCTAAGAAGTCATTTGGAAAACAAGGTGTTCAGTTGACTTTTTTAAATGGAGAAATATATCAGGTAGTAGTATATAGATGATAAATATTTTATCATACAATATTTTCAGTGTTTGTCATTGGAACAATTGTTCTCACGACAAACACTGAAAATACAGTGTGATAATCTATAAATACACCCCTCGTCTACCTCCACAGAGAAATAATCTACAAATACACACCTCGTCTATCGCCACAGAGAAATAATCCATAAATACACACCTCGTCTATCGCCACAGAGAAATAATGTATAAATACACACCTCGGCTATCTCCACAGAGACATAATCTATAAATACACCCCTCGTCTACCTCCACAGAGAAATAATCTACAAATACACACCTCGTCTATCGCCACAGAGAAATAATCTATAAATCCACACCTCGTCTATCGCCACAGAGAAATAATCTATAAATCCACACCTCGTCTATCGCCACAGAGAAATAATCCATAAATACACACCTCGTCTATCGCCACAGAGAAATAATCTACAAATACACACCTCGTCAATCTCCACTGAGAAATCATCTATAAATACACACCTCGTCTGTCTCCACTGAGAAATAATCTATAAATCCACACCTCGTCTATCGCCACAGAGAAATAATCTATAAATACACCCCTCGTCTACCTCCACAGAGAAATAATCCATAAATACACACCTCGTCTATCTCCACAGAGAAATAATCCTGTAACATCTCTCTCTTGCTGGAGAGAAATTCCACGATGTAGTTAGCTAGATCTTCTTTGGGTCCATCAGCCTCAACCCAGCCACTCTCCTCAAGGTCAAGGGCAAGCATTGCTAGCTCATACAGGGGAGCTGGCTCCTACAGTAGACAAAACATATATATAGAGGTTACATCAAAGTGCTGGCTCCTACAGTAGACAAAACATATATATATAGGTTACATCAAAGTGCTGGCTTCTACAGTAGACAAAATATATATAGAGGTTACACCAAAGTGCTGGCTTCTACAGTAGACAAAACATATATAGAGGTTACACCAAAGTGCTGGCTTCTACAGTAGACAAAATTTATATAGAGGTTACACCAAAGTGCTGGCTCCTACAGTAGATAAAACATATATAGAGGTTACACCAAAGTGCTGGCTTCTACAGTAGACAAAACATATATATATAAGGGGTTATATCAAATTGTTACTTTATACACCTTTGGTCCAAGTTTTGTTGGTCTAGCACTTATACTTTCAGTGAAACTGACTTAAACACAACAAGGTTACCACGAGCGGTATATAATACGCCCGTCACACATTGAATGAGCAGTTGTTTGTATGATTGAAATATATGAAGTATTTGTGAGTAATTGATATTGAAAGAGAAATCATTCAACATAACTGGTAGATCAATGAGTGCAATTCAACATCATGGAACACATGCATCGCATTAATGAAATCAAGGGGAATAACTCTAATAATTACGGTCGGATAATGGCGGTTATCGAACTTGTCCGAGGTTTCATGGTAATTAACCTTGTTGTGAAGTTTGAAGTTAATCCGTTAATAATTACTTGAGATATCGAGCGGACACTGTTTCGGCAAGTCCATAAAGGGGCATAACTCCACAAATTATGGTCGGATAATGGCGGTTATCGAACTTGTCCGAGCATTCATGGTAATTAACCTTGTGGTGAAGTTTGAAGTTAATCCGTTAATAATTACTTGAGATATCGAGCGGACATCGTTCGCATGCCCGCCCACCTACCCGCCCGCCCGCCCGCTCACTTGATAACATAATATATCCCCGTCTTCGACGGGCGTATAAAAACTTAACCATCAGTCTGCTACCCACAGCATATGCCGTTCTGAAAAGTCGGGTTGTCAGTGCTACGCCACGGTATATGTCGTTTTGAAAAGTCGGGTCGTCAGTGCTACGCAAGGCATATGCCGTTTCTCGGTCTGCAGGTTTTGATCAGTAAACAGGAAGTGTGAAGTCGAGTTGTTGCTATACCAAACCCGAATGTGTATAGTAGAAAGCTTCTGATTGATTGTTTTGTCATTACTTCGTGGTGGCGAGACAATAGACTCTAAATTAGATTTCTTAGCCTGTATTTCATCATTTAAGAATCACATTCAGTCTTATGTACAGGATTTCAATGATGCTCGATGTTTAGCATTTGTTACTCAAAGTCCTGATGTTTCAACTTTTTCCTGAAAGTGCCACAAAGTTTAAAACATCGAAGTTTGACTGTATATATTAAACGTGTTGCAACATTTTAAGACCGACTGGTCACTTTGTCGAGTTATCTATCTGGTGGAATCTCACACCAACAGACCAATGTTATAACCGATGGTCTCAGCCAATCAGAAACCATGGCAGCCATCTTGGATTATGAATTATTGAATTATCATTTTCTTAATTGTCTTAATGATTAATGTAGCCGACCAGTAATATCTAGGTCAATGATTACTGTAGCCGACCAGTAATATCTAGGTCAATGATTACTGTAGCGGACTAGTAATATCTAGGTCAATGCATGATTACTGTAGCTGACCAGTAATATCTAGGTCAATGATTATTGTAGTCGACCAGTAATATCTGGGTCAATGATTACTGTAGCCGACTAGTAATATCTAGGTCAATGATTACTGTAGCTGACCAGTAATATCTAGGTCAATGATTTCTGTAGCCGACCAGTAATATCTAGGTCAATGATTACTGTAGCCGACTATTAATATCTAGGTCAATGATTACTGTAGCCGACTAGTAATATGTAGGTCAATGATTACTGTAGCCGACTAGTAATATCTAGGTCAATGGTTATTGTAGCCAACCAGTAATATCTAACAGTTTTCTGACACAGACAACACCAGGGCTACCAACCCTCCCAGTAACTGCCATCATAGTAACCCCCCCCTCCCCTTGAATGCTCCTTCCACCTGAGAACAAAATATCCTGCAAAGCTCTCTGATCTTCCATCATGAACTGAAAGACAATTAGGTAGTCAAACAGATGTAACACTTGATTTCTTTTCACCAGTTTGCATTTTGTTTACAATTTAATAAGTGGCCCAGCAAAAATGAGGAACACAATTAGCTAGACATAAGAATATTTGTAGTACTATTGTTGCTATCTCTGGCAGCGATAAATTTACATGTGAGCTAGTTCTCAATAGATACTCATAGAATTTTGATATGACCAATAGAATTTCTGGAAATTCTTATAAATTTAGCATTGTGGGACCAATTTTTTCTAGAAATACAATTGAAAAGGACTCATGAAAAAAAAATGTAGATTGATCACTGCTCTGGTATGCCATCATACAAGGATAAGTTCCTGTGTTGTATTAATAAATCAATTGATTTAGAAGTTTGGTTTAGTATTGTAACAACTATAGTCATTTAAGAACGGCCTCCCCGTATTTGGAAGAAAAGGATCCCCATCAAACAGCGTCCTGTTCACTGTCATTATTGTGTTCCAGAAAGTCATTGGCTACATGATTGCTTTCTGCGATTATCTTTTAGGCCTCTTTGTTCAGAATTATGGCGATCAAAATTGCTCCATTACTGGTTCCTGATTATAAAATATCCAGTTTGTGCACAGCAGAATGAAATGTTCACAAATAGTTAATGAGCAATTACAGAAATTAATCCTCCGCTGCAGAATGAGGTTATAGTGGCATGCAAATGTTAACAGGTGTTCTTAAACACTCTGTGATGAAGTAATGAAATAATTCACTTGGATATCCTCTGACAAACATCAATCGGTTCAAACAGAACTCTTTAACATAATGATGCAGTATTTTTTTACCGAAATTTTACAACAGCCGGATCCTTTATGAATTGGGAATATATTCCTCAGTTTTGGTCATTTTGGAAAAATAAGGCACTTTTTAGCTAGGTGAAACAGCCTGTATTTGGCTGTAAAACTAAGTCAAAACTAGAAAATGCCTGTAAGACATGAACGCACCCCGGTCACCATGTGAAATTAGTTTCAGTGTTTGAAGTTCTATAAATAGTTACAAACACTTTGATCACAGGACGGTACTGGGATGGGATGGGATGGGACGGGGGGACAGGACGGGACGGGACTGGGATGGACATGGGCAACACTATGCCCTCCCCCCCATTTTATAGCGGGGGCATAAAAATCACTGTGATTATTGGATGAATGTCAAGATACATGATTCTTGCTCTGAAACTGTCAGTTTCACAAGTGATGATTGTTCTATAATGATCCACCCAATGTGCCTTAAGGATCCCCAAACCACTGCCAGAAACTATAAGTGTTGGAAACTGCTTTTTCTGACATGACTATATATATATAGCTTTGATAAATCCTTTCTGGAAAGAAAATCATACCTTGCAGAAATTTTATGAGAAATAATGAAGATAAAAGAAACAGAATTTAATCAACAACAGTGTTAAAGTTCAGTAGATCAGACAGATTCGAACCCTGGACTTCAGATTGTTATACTATCACACTAACCGGTCCTGGCACTATTGTGATACAAGTTAATCCAAACGAAATTCTAGGGGAGGTAACCATATATAGGAAAAACATAATGCTGCAGTGGAACAGGGATCCTTAAATACATAAACATTGGAAGTGTCCTGGCCCTATCGTGGTACATTGTACTGGTATATTCAAATTGATGTTAATGGGAGCTTACTGTACATAGGAAAAGCCACAATGCAGTCCGATTGAGATCCCTAATGACAATAAATCAAAACACTGTACGGGATACTGAAGTTCTCTCCTTCAGAGGAAAAGATGGGAGCAGCCATAAAGTCTCGTGAACAAATTGAGGGTGGAGGGCACCAAACTTGTGTTAGGTCATAACAAAAATATATGGAGTTTAAATTTGGTTTTGATACCTACCTATGAAGTAGAGAGAGTATTTATATATATAGTTGCCTTGTTTGTTCAGCCATCAATTTGTTTGCATCTGCTGAACAAGATATTCCAACACCAGATGGAGGGTGTTCGCGTGATATAAAACTGTTAGGGTCAGAGGTATAAACTAGGGTCGGTTGGGGATCTGAAACATACCTACATATTTTTGTGGCCTTAGCAGTGTAAATACATTTACTAACTTAAATGTTGTTTTTATGATTTTCACAAAACATTCAATGTAGGTCTTATGCATGAAAATGTTGCAAAAATCGTTCCACTCGAGATCCTCAGGATATTTCCTACGTGGGGAATCTCCCCATTGGGCCCTATGAAGACTCACCAGTTGGCAGGCCTCCAACGTTTGACTTCAGTTCTCCCTGTCCATAACTTAAATTCACATAAATAAGGTGTGCAACCTAAGCTCAAGTAACCAGAGTTATCCCTCTTTATATGTAACCAGTGAATCAGCCAACTTCAAACATTTAACTGTACCAAATGGAATAGGTTTTAGAGGGAAAAATGATTAAGATAAGCTTCTATGTGCTTTGTAAACCTTTATAATTACTATAGCTTATCTAGCCTATCTTACCCTACCTTATTAACAAAGGCATGTATAGGCCTAAGCAACATGTTAAGAATGATCGACATACATGTATCTTTTGGATTATTGTGACACGGCCAGTCTTTTATTCAAAGCTGACAGTGCAAGTTAAAAAGCTTTTAATTGAGAAAAAAATAATTAAAAAATCTGGTTTTGAGATCTTGTTTCTTCTGACTATCGCTTCTAAGGAAGTGCTGACATTTTATTTTGTCCTTGCTTGGTAATGAGCATGGGTCTCGCTGGATATAACAAGAGATCCCAGAGGGATCTTGGCGCCCACCTTTGTACCATCTTCATTAGTTCTTTGTCAGTTCAATCTTTTCTCTTCTTTCCTCTAATCTGTTTGATCGAGTCATGTTAACAGTAAATGCA